ATCCTAGCTACACAGGAGGCTGAGATCTGAGGATCACAGTTCAAAGCCAGCCCAGGCAGAAAAGTGACACTCATCTCCAATTAAACCACTCAAAAACCAGAAGTGGAGCTGGTAGAGCACTAGCCTTGAGCTAAGGAGCTCAAGAACAGAACCCAGGCCCTGAGTTCAAGCGCTTCAACTGACAAAAAAGAAGACTATAATGATATAGGCTACTGGAAAGCATATTAATTGAAGATACTACTCACAGACCACATTTTACATGGTTCCGCTTACATGAATATCTGGTCTAGGCAATCCACAGAACAGGCAATTAGCTTGGGGGCTTCTAAGGGCTTGGGAAAAGGGGAATTGGAAAATAATCACCAGTATGAGGTTATTGTTTAAAATGACAAAAATGTTCTAAAATTAAAGTAGTGGTGATTCACAACTTAGTGAATATACTAAGAACTTCAGAATTATATATTTTTAGAAGGGTGCAGTTTGCTGGGAGTAGCTCATGTGTAACATCAGCACTTAGGAGGTTGAGGAAGGAGGATGGCAAATTGAAGATCAGTCTGTACTACATATCAACCCTGTTCCAATTTTTTTTGCGGGGTAAGGGGTCCGGTCATGGGGCCTGAACTCTGGGCCTGGGCGCTGCCCCTCAGCTCTTCAGCTCAAGGCTAGTGCTCTACCACTTGAGCCACAGCACCACTTCCGGCTTTTTTATTTTTGCTTATGTGGTGCTGAGGAATCAAACCCAGGGCCTCATGCATGCAAGGCAAGAGCTCTACCACTAAGCCACCTTCCCAGCCCCCCTGTTCCAATTTTTTAAGAAAGGTGAATTTTTTTGTTTGTTTGTTGGCTGTTTTTCTTTTTATGGGCTTCCCATTTAAAAAAAAAAAAAAACTTAGGGACTTAGGTGAACCTCATAAATAGGTAGATTTTTTTTTCTTTTTCTTTTTCTTTTTTCTTTTTCTTTTTACCAGTCCTGGGGCTTGAACTCAGGGCCTAGGCGCTGTTCCTGAGCTTCTTTGTGCTCAAGGTTAGTGTTCTATCACTTGAGCCACAGTGCCCCTTCCATCATTTTCTGAATAGAAAATGGAGATAAGTGTCTCACAGACTTTCCTGCCTGGGCTGGCTTTGAACCGTGATCCCCAGATCTCAGACTCCTGAGTAGCTAGGATTACAGGCATGAGCCACTGGTGCCAGGCTAATGGGTGGTAGATATTCTCTTGTTAAAGCCTTTTATTTAAAATTGTGTGTGTGTGTGTGTGTGTGTGTGTGTGTGTGTAAGATTGGGATGATTGGCACATGGAAGTTCTTTGGACCAATCTTTTTACTTTTACATATGTTCAATTTTGTATTTATAAATTTTTTGACAGTCTAGAGCTTAAACTCAGGATCTCAGGGTATCACGGTCTCATTCTCTTCACATTTTTGATCAAGGCTCTTCCACTTGAGCCATACTTCTGCTTCTGGCTTTTGTGGTTTTGTTTTTGTTTTTTGCTAAAGATTAAAAGTCCTTCAGACTTTTAATCAAAACTGCCTGGGCCAGGGCTGGGAAGTTGGCTCAGTGGTAGAGCGCTTGCCTTGCATGCCAGAGGCCCTGGGTTCGATTCCTCAGCACCACAAAAGCAAAAATAAAAAAAAAAAAAAAAAAAAAAAAACTGCCTGGGCCAGTTTTGAACCACCATTCTCAGACCTTATCCTCCTGATTAGCTAGGATTACAGGCATGAGCCACCAGCACCCAGTTAATTAATGAGTAGATTTTCTATCTCCATAAAGCAAGCTGTTACTTAAGTGTGTGTGTGTGTGTGTGTGTGTGTGTGTGTGTGTGTGTGAGAGAGAGAGAGAGAGAGGCGGGGGGGTGATTGGCACATGGAAATTCTTTAGATGAATCTTTTTTGCTTTTGCATATGTTGAATTTTGTATTTTTAATTTTTTTTAACAGTTTAAGGCTAGAACTCAGGGTCTGGTGATATGGCTCTTTTGGCTTTTTGGGGGGGGGCAGGGTCCGGTTGTGGGGCTTGAACTCTGGGCCTGGGCGCTGTCCCTCAGCTCTTCAACTCAAGGCTAGCGCTCTACCACTTGAGCCACAGCACCACTTCCGGATTTTTTCTTTTTGCTTATGTGGTGCTGAGGAATCGAATCCAGGGCCTCATGCATGCAAGGCAAGTGCTCTACCACTGAGGCACCTTCCCAGCTCTCTCTCTTCTTTTTTTTTAACCACTTGAGCCACACCTCTGCTTCTGGGTTTTTGTTTCTTTGTTTGGAGGGGTTTTCTTGCTGGTTAACTGGAGATTAAGTCTGAAGGATTTGCCTGCCTGGGCTGGTTTTGAACCACCATTCTTAGATCTCAGCCACTTGAGTAACCAGGATATAGGCATGAGCCACCAGCATCTGACTTTCCAAACTTTTTGTAATGAAGTTTCAATATGCATATATGCTGTCTTTCTGCGGCGGTCTGGATTTTGAGAAAGCTTCAATGTTAAGAAAACTTCCAAGTTAATTCCTTCTTTCCAACAATACCTGCTAGTGGTCAATTTAGGAAGGCAGAGAAGATAGGACAGGACACCTGTGTTTATCACCCAGCACCCTGTGGGAAGGACCACCAACCCAGCCCCATTGGGGTTCCCCACGAGTCTCACACTCCTCCAGCTGCCACGGCAGTGTACTTGTGATGGTACCTTCATTCGTGGGGAGAGGATGGGGCTGTGCCCCCAACCAATAGTCCAGGAAGAAAACAAAGGAGAGGAACACAGCTCCACTCATCTTTGTCACAACCTGTATAGCAAGAGGGAGAAGCCAAGCTTCTGAAGGTCCTTCTGAACTCCAGGATACTATGGAACCCATGTCTGTGAGGTCACATTCAGCAGAGAGGGAGAAGGAAAAGAGGCCCAGGTCTGTTCTATAGGCAGGAACAGAGTAGTATTTGGTGGCCTCTCTGCTCACTTCCCTTGGATCTTTGGTGCCTTCCTCCTTCCTGCCTGTCCTGCTGTAACAGATGGTGAGGACTCACGTCTCCCTGGGCCACTGGGCAGAAGTTGAGCATGGTTAAGAGCAGTGATAAATAGTACTAAAGCATCATTAATGCTAATTATGAGCCTTTGTTTCATAGTTTTTATAGTCTTCCCTCAGGCCTCCACTGTCTTGGGGAAAAGAACGCCAACCAGGAAGTGATACCACTCTCACCAGTTCCAGCTATTCTGAAGGCTACATGACAATCACAGCTTGATGTCACCATGTAGCTCTGGCTCCTGAAGGCATTGTCCAGGGAAAGAGCTTGAACAGGACTTTTCACCATCCCTACCCTGGGTGAACTCAGGGGAGGAGGTAGAGGGAAAGGAGAGGGAAGAGAAGAGAGAGAATAGTTCCTTATCTACTAAAGAAATTGAGTTTGTAGCTCATAATCTTTCAAAAAGAATAAACAGAAAACAAACAAAAAAACCCACTGCAAACCAGGTGCTGGGGGCTCATGCCCGTAATTCTATATATTCAAGAGGCTGAGATCTAAGGATCAAGTTTCATCAGCCCACATAGGAAAATCCATGACTCTTATCCCCAATTAATCAGCAAAAAGGTATGGCTTAAGTGGTAGAGCACCAGCCTTGACAGAAAAAGGCAAGAGCACAAGGCCCTCAGTTCAAGCCCCAGTACTGGCAGAAAGAAAGAGGAAGGAAGGAAGGAAGGAAGGAAGGAAGGAAGGAAGGAAGGAAGGAAGGAAGGAAGGAAGGAAGGAAGGAAGGAAGGAAGGAAGGAAGGAAGGGAGGGAGGGAGGGAGGGAGGGAGGGAGGGAAGGAGGGAGGTTAAAAACAATATAAAATCCAGGTACAATGGCTTACACTTATAATGCTAATAACTCAGAAGGCTGAGATTCAGAAGGTTGAAATCCTGGGCCAGCTTGGGCAGAAATTTTTTTTTAAAGTGTAACAATAGCAAATGTTAGCATGTGGAACAATTTGAACTCTCTCATATACATTGCTGGTTAGAATGAAAATGATATAACACTTTGGAAAACAGTTTAGTGTTCTTTTAAAATGTTAAACATGTATAGTGGGGAGCCAGTAGTCATGACTGTAATCCTAGCTACTCAGGAAACTGATATCTAAGAATTGAAGTTCAGAGCCAAGCAAGACAGGAAAGCCTGTGAGACATTTATCTCCAATTAACACCCCCTTCCCGGAAAAAAAAGTAGAGCTGTGGCTCAAGTAGTAGAGCACTAGTCTCGGGCACAAAAGCTCAGGGATAGCATCCAGGCCCTGAGTTCAAACCCCAGGACTGGCATTAAAAAAAGAAAAGAAAAGAAAGAGTTGGGAGTTGGTAGCTGGTGGCTTACACCTATAATCCTAGCAACTCAGGAAGCTGAGATCTGAGGATCATGGTTCAAAGCCATCTTGGCAGGAAAGTCCATGAGATTCTTATCTCTGATCACCAGAAAAACTGGAAGTAGTGCTATGGCTCAAAGCGGTAGAGTGTTAGCTTTGAGCAGAAAATGCTCAGGGACAGCGCCCAGATCCTGAGTTCAAGCCCCTTGACTGAGAAAAAAAATGCATTTGGTGCCTGGTGACATTGGCTCATGCCTATAATCATAGATACTCAGGAGGCTAAGATCTGAGGATACAGGGACAAAACCAGCCCAAGCAGGAAAGTCCATGAAACCCTTGTTCTCAATCACCAGCCCAAGTCGTAGAGTGTATCCTTGAGCAAAAAAGGTCAGGGCCAGTGTCAGATCCTCAGTTCAAGCCCCAGAACCAACACACACACACACACACACACACACACACACACACACACACACACACACACACACACACACACACTGCATTTGGTAAAATATCCAGTGCTAGAGTGTTCACAAAGAAGTGTGGTCTCTGGGTAATAGAAAAGACATCTTTAGGGACAGGTGAACTTATGCACAGCCCAACTAAGCTAGGACCTGCCCAGCCCCGCCTTCTCCAGCCCCAGTCCCCTTTAAGAGCTGAGCTATGACATCATTCTACGTCTCTGCGCAGCCTACCTTGGCAACGCACTGTCCCTTCTCCAGGGTTGCTTCCATTGGCTGGCCAGTCCTTGAAGGCCCCGCCCCTTCCTTTGCAGCGGGGTCTGGTGCCCGCTGTCAGTTGGGACCAGCGAGAGTGGTGATTGGCCGCGGGGCCCCCGAAAGCCCCTTGGGGCTTGCGTAGGCCGTGCACTCTGGGGGAAGGGGTGCGGCGCTGGGTCGGGAGTCGCCGGGGTCCCAGTCCGCCCGCCCGCCCGCCGGTGCCTCCTGCTGCCCGCCTCGTGGGCAGGGCCGGCCCGGCCGGGCCATGGAGTCCTACGACATCATCGCCAATCAGCCCGTGGTCATCGACAACGTGAGGCCCAGCAGGCAGGGGGAGGACGGGCGCCCTGTCCCCGGGGACGCGCGCGGCGGCGTGGGGAGGGACCCCAGCCGGACTGGGGCTCGTCCTTCGCTCACTGCAGGGTCGCCGCCCCCGCAGGCCTGCCAGCTTCCAAGGCCAGAGCAGAAGGACCAGATGGGGGGCGGGGGGGAGGCTAAGTGGTCCTTTTGCAGTGGCCCTGGGACTGGCCTCCTGCCGGCGCCTCCCAGCCCCAGCTCCAGCCCCACCCCGAGCGGAGGAAAGTCAGATCTGGACACAGCCCGGTGGCCGGCCCATAGGCCTAGGGATGCTTTTAACCTTTCTGGATTGAGAGTAAAGTCACCCAGATCTCAACCTCAATCCCATTGCTTATCCTTTGAGGCTGTGGCTCTGACCACCTGGCGAGGGTGGGCTGGCATTTGCCCTTGCACGCTGCTGGCCTCATCTTTTGGAGGCGTTTTGCCTTGGTAGTTAGTCTTTGCAACTGTTACCAAGAAGCTGCACCCAGGGGCAAAAAATATACCAGTTATTCTCTACCTGCCGCATACCCATCGCTACCTGGTTGGCTTCTCGGTTTTAACCCCATCTCCTTAAATGCCCTCTGTGTGAGAAGAAATTCCACCGTCAGCCAGGCAGTGCAGAGTTTAGAGCCACCACTCCTCCCATGAACAAGAAGTAGTTTGGGGATAATTGTTTACAAGCCTGAGAAGAAAGATGTCTGGCTTCATGTGACCCACACGTTCAGCACTGGGGCTTCGCTGGCTTCAGCTGTCCCAGGAGCTTTTCTGGCCTCAGAGTTCTAATTTGGGAGGATAAGCACCATGCTCCAGGCGTTGGTCCCAGGATGTGCACCTAGCTGAAGCCTTTGACATGCAGGCCTTGGAGTTTTTGACAGTGACTCACTAATGCTGAGTCCTTCCCATGTGACCTTGGTGGGATCCTTTAAATGGCTGCCTCTTTTGAGTACTTATGTGAGCTCTCCTAATGTTTGACAAGAAGGTTGGACCTGGACTTGGGGATGTGCTGTCAGACCAGCAGGCTTTCCTACTTGGTGGGCAGATAATTCACATAAACTAATCAACCAAGCTTGTAAGTCCAGAGGGCAGCTGCCTTAGCCCTCTGGAAGCCCTCTGGGTTTCCAGACTCTGCTCTAGAATTTGGAGATGTTTATTTCTACACTGCAGACCTGGAGGGCTGTGATGGAGACTGGTGGGAAGATAGGTTGAGAAGCCAATTCCTACATCCGTGGGAGATTTCTGGATGTCACTTTCTTTTTGGGGTTTTAGGTTCAGCTTCAAGGCTGGAGCAGTCCCGGGACCAAATTCTCCTCATAGTCATTGGGGAAGTCACTTGAAGAAAAGTGCCCTTGTCTGTGTACTGTGATCTTCCCTGGCAGTCCCAGTGTGTGGTTCACCACTTCTGGGAAATGGGGAGGAGCAGGCTCTTAAAAATCAAACTACTCTGAGGGATTATTTCAAGCTGTCTTGGGAGTGGCTTGTGCCTCTGATTCTTCCAGCCAGGAACCACAAGATATATTCTATCTTCTATTCATAAGAATTCTGTTTCTGTACTACTTACCTTCTGGGTCTTAGAGATAGCTTATGCACACTGTAGGATGTTTACAAACCCACTATCATCCTGTTCTCATCTTCCACTTCAGTTGCTAAGCACTACTAGATGTTTCTAGGGCAGGAGATGCAAAATCAGGATACCCCCAGTTTTGAGCCACTGATGTAAATGATTTTGTCCTCTGGGCAGGGTCTCTGGCTTCCCCACCCTGGCCCCTCAGCCTATATTTCTGCAGCACCCAGTCCTCCACTGCAGGGTACTCTTCATCTGGAGATGAATGTCAGAAACTTAACATTGCTTTTCCTTGTAGGGTTCAGGGGTGATCAAGGCTGGCTTTGCAGGAGACCAGATTCCTAAATACTGTTTTCCAAACTAGTAAGTGTTGCAGCAGCCCCCTCTTTGTTTGCTTCCTGGGAGAACATTGGCCGGGTGTCCCATCCCTCTTTGAGGATAATTCCAGCATCATGTTTATGGGATTGACATTCTCCAGAGAGCTGTAAAAGGACAAGCCCTGTGGGTTTCCCCTTCTTCGGAGAGTCTCACTTTTGTCTTTCCCTAAACTGGGGAAGAGAAGAGGCATCCAGCATTGCCCTTGGGATGAGGCGTGGTGATGGCAGCCAGAACAAAAGGGAGTTCTCTCAGGGGGAAGAGTTAAACTCTTGCAGAAAAGGTGGAGGATCAAGTACACGGATCTACCTTCCTTTGTGGGAATGCTTCTTGTTTTTTGTACCTTTTTTTGGTGCTAGAGATTGAAACTGGAGCCTCCTTAATGCTAAGCACATGCTCTAAGCACCCACAAAACCCCTGGAAATGTTTTCCTGAGGACTTGTTTAGAAAATACTTTGTGTCAGTTGAGGAGGGTCTTTCCCTGTGTGGTGTTGGTGGTGGCAGGGTAGCATGGGGTGCCATCCTACAGGGAGTCTAGAGTTCTTGGGCCCCTTTGGCTCATTAAGAAAATTCCCTCAGGCGCTTCTTCCCTTATATCCTGGAGACTTTAGAATTAATGGCCTCCAGACAGGATCCTTGGGCCCCAGAGTAGCTGGCTCCAGAGTGTTAATCCCAGACCTGTCACCTCTGGTGACAGAGCCAGATGGACACCCTGGAGGATATCAGCTTTCCTTTGAGAACTCTGCAGATAGAAGGATGTGGTAGAAGGCTCCTGTTGGTGTATGGGAAACAAGTCATACTTTGGAATGGTAACTCATGAGATCTCATGGTTTTCAAGAATCTGTTCCAGAATTCCTGTAATGGAACAGGGCATCATGGACTGGACTGAGTGAGAGTGCTGTACAGGGGAGCTACCACCTAGCTTCCTAGGGCTGTCCTCCCTTAGTGTACAGACTGTGGCAGCAGCCCTGCCTACTCAAGTCAAGAACAAGGGCTGAGTCATTGTAGCTTCAGATGGCTGACCCTCTGCCAGGGTCACACACTCCCCTCTCTGGGAGGGAACTCATGCCATCAGACCCTGAGCTTCCTGTCCTACCAAGACCTGTGCTGTAAGCCTATGTCACACAGACCCATCTTGAACCTCTGTCCTCTGGAACTTTGGAGTTGTACCAGCCAACCTTGCTCACTTCATTGATCCTCTGTGTCCTTGCAGTGTTGGGCGGCCTAAGCACATGAGGGTGATGGCTGGAGCCCTAGAGGGGGACATCTTCATCGGACCAAAAGCAGAGGTAACACAATGAGTCTTGCCTTTTCTGGACTTGGGATCCTCAGTCACAGGAGTGCTGACTGCTGCTCAGGGAACCTGTTCTGTGTGCCCCTATCTCCTTCTCCATATGCCAGCAGTGAAGTGCTAAGTATGGGGCATCTGGTCTGTGAAGTATTGGGTAACACTCCTGAGGAACATAGTTAGACCTTCTCATGACCTGCCTTTTAGAAGCTATTTAGAAACTACAGAGGAAAAAAACAAATTTAAGAGAATCACAGCTGAGTATGGTAGTATACACCTATAATCCATTCCAGCACGCAATAGGTAGAGGCAGAAAGATGACAAGTTCTAGGCATAGTGAGGCTCTATTCCCAAAAAAATTGTTAAAAAGAATCACCTGGATTTTATAGCTGCTCTGACTGGGACTGTGGGGGCCACCTCTTGCACTCTTAATCTGGAGAGATCCTCCTAGAGAATGTATGTCAGAGATGATGGGGGAGAAAAGCAGCCCAGCTTAAGGAACACAATGTGGAACTCTGGGTAGGGAAGCCTTGCTTCTATGTCTGGGAAGGGAAACCCTGAGCCAGAGGGCATATGTGGGGAACTAGGAGAAGAGATCAGTAGCAGCCATGATTGTGGGTAAGAGAAGCTAAGTGGTGCATGATGAGGAAGAGTGCACAGGGGTGAGAGGGGTCAGGTCAGGTTGAGGCACAAGCAGGGAACAGGTATGGACTGGACAGCTGAGGAAAGAGGCCAAAGCCTCAGCTGTGTTCTAGAGCAGTGGTGGGTACAAGTGGCCACAGGAGGGGCATGCTGATGAAGCTTTGTGTGAACAAGAGGTGTGTTGCCAGCGAGTGGGGAAGCCTGAGCATTGAGGCAGGAGGAAGATAAGGGACCGTAGGGTGGGGCACATTGCCATTTTCTCTGTTCCCCAACCAGCTGAAGCTAACTAAACTCACAGCCCAAGATGCTGTTGATCAGATGAGCATGTACAGAGTTCTAGACCTAGCACCTAGCAGGGAAACACCCAGGTTCTGGCAAAGATAGGTCTATTGAGGGCTAAGGATGGGGGAAGAAGCTGTTCAGCGAGGGACCTAGAGCTACATATGGCCCTTCATACTCTTCCCCCAGGAGCACCGGGGGCTGCTGGCCATCCGATACCCCATGGAGCATGGCGTGGTGCGGGACTGGAATGACATGGAGCGGATCTGGCAGTATGTCTATTCCAAGGATCAGCTGCAGACCTTCTCTGAGGAGGTGTGGTAGCCAGCCTCTCCCTCCAAGCCCCCATTTTCCCAGCTGTGCTTCCAACGTGATCAGGGTTCCCAGTCCCTGTCTGCATATGGATAGGGCCTCCTGCCTTCTCACTTGTGAGTCTGTGTGTACCTACCCAGTCAGGGACAGCCAAGTTTCATTTTCCATAGCCCAAACATAGCCCTTAGGAAGGATAGCAGGCTGTGGCTTGGGAATGATTGCTTTAGGATCTTGTTTGTCATCTTTATGCACACCTATGATTCTCCCGTCTCTTGTAGCATCCTGTTCTTCTAACAGAGGCCCCACTCAACCCCAGTAAGAACCGGGAGAAAGCTGCAGAGGTATTCTTTGAGACCTTCAACGTGCCAGCTCTATTTATCTCCATGCAGGCCGTGCTCAGCCTGTGAGTGGCCCTTGACTCCCTATCTTCCCTGGGACTGTCCTTTTGATTTCCCTAGAGAAACAGCCCCT